GGTTATCCTCTTTTTTCTACTCAACATATTCCTAAATTCAAGGTAGACACGTACATTTGGCTATTTCTTTAGTTTCGCTTTTTTTTTTCTTAGGTTGAACAAATTTTCTTCTTTCTCTCTTCCTCTGTCTTGCTTTCTCTCTTATTGTTCTACTTTTCTCATCTTCTCTCTCTCTCTCTTTGCCCGTTCGCGTAGTCACTTTTCTCATTACTCCAAACGTCATCGGTGAACAGAGACAGAAAGAGAGGGTAATAAGTGTGAGCGACGAACGAGTGAACACATATATACAAAGAACATAAAGAAGATGCAACAACATCAGCATTACTATATTGATAGACGACGACCCCGATTCATGAACAGTAGTGATAAAACAAGAAACGATGAATTCTATGCTAAATTAGAACGTATTCGGTTAACTACTGCAGCTTCAAATTCAAGTAAGTTTTTCTTTTTTCGATTTTAGTCTTAAGTTAATCCTATCCTCAAAATTCTCATGTTTTAAGTAGTCGGTATCTGATCAAATAGCTTTTTTTTCTTAATATTCTCTTTCATTCTAACAAATATTTTGTTGCGTATTGATTACAATGAGACAGACGATTTGCGCAAAGAAGTAATGATTAGATCGTTTATATTTACATGAGAAATGTTAATGAAGCAAGCATGTTTATCAACTGATCGTCATCATCATCATCATTATTTTTAAATGATTTGTCGTCTCACACATATCTTCCATCTGATCATCATCTTAACAAAAAGAAATCGACGCGACTGATTATCAGATGAGTCAACTATTCATTTTTTGACACTCATCTGATATAGACTGATGATGTAATAAGATGTCATCTAAATCATATCATTATCAAGAAAAGACAATACTAAGCAAAATCTGTATGTCATCATTATGATCATGTCTGTTGAATGTCAAATAACCTTGTCTAAGTCATAAATCATCGAAGTCTTTATGATAGAAAGTCATTTACATTAGAAGAGTTATAAATGATACCTTAATTGATTTTTTTTTTTTAGTGATAAATTTTTTCGTTGCTTTAAAACTAAATGGAATTTAATATATATATTTCTTATTTTTTTATATAAGTAGAACAGTGTTCACATCGTTCAGCAACTGAATTATTAGATGAAACGAAACCATTTTTTGTTAAAAGTCAAGAAGTTTTACATAATCGACAAACACTTTTAAATAATAAAACATCAAATGAACAACAACAACAACAACGAATGACACCATCATTTCGAATAGTGTATGTTTATTTTGTTTTAATTTTTAATATAATCAAATAATTTATGTATTGATGTTTTTGTTTTACTTAGACAACCACGTCGTTCTCCTTATCATAATGATGAATATGATCGATTTCGATTAGATTCTCTTGATCTTTCATTACAATCTTCTACACAATCAATATCAACACCAATTTCAACAACAAATTGTTCCGATTGTAGTGCATTTGAAAGTGTTAGTTTATTATCACTTTCGGATCAAACAACACTTGATAGTACTAATAGTCTATCAAATATAAAACGAACAGTTGTACCATCAACATCATTAACTGTGATTGAACGTAATGCAAGAATTATTAAATGGCTTTTTCAATTAAATAAAGCTAATGCATCACCTTCATTTCAAGAAGTTCGATAATTAATAAAAATAAAACTTACTTACATTTTGTTTTGTTTTTTTTTTATTGTGAGTTGTTGTTTTGTGTTTGTTTCTTTTTGCAAAGGAAAAACAAAGAAAGTAATCCAAATGCAAAATTTGTTTTCATGCTTTAACTTTTCAATAATATGTTTTATAGTAAAAGTAATTATGTTTTAAAAAAAAATTGTAGATTTTAGAACATTAGAGAAACTGACATATTTCTTTGTATACTTAATCATATGATTTGTAACAGTTGTAAAATTGTGTCATGTGATAAAAAACGATCATTTGAAAACATACTTTTAGACAATTTATGGTAATTAAGAAAGGAGAAAATGCATTTGTTTAGCTGATATTATCAACATAGGTTATTACTCGTCATTAAACTACATCAGTAGAGACGAAATTTAATCTATTGTTCTGAATAGACAACATTAAATACATGAGTTGAGATCTAATCTATTCAAATGGGCGTGTCAATAATACAACCTATACTAAAAATGGTTTATTCGTATTAAATTATTCATAACTAGTTGAAATACATTTATTTTATTCAAGAAAAAAAAAATTAGAAAAATCTTCAAATCCAAAAATACAGAATAACAATAAATGTTACAGCAAACAATAAGTTAACAACTAATGGCATTAATCAATTTATTAGATTTATAAAACACAAAGATTTTCTTTTTTTATTTTCGTGTTAATCATAAAATAAAACATTTTAACATTTCATATTTCAATATAAAAGAATTTTATCTAGTAAAAAATATACTTCTTTCACTATTGGATTATTCAAGAAATAAAACAAACTTAAACAATATTAGAGTTTTTAATAGAGAAATATGAATTTTTTTTTATTTATAAAATATCTTGTTCTTATGTAGATTTGAATGATATTACGATTATGTCTATCTTTTAGTATCAAATCATAATACAATATAGCAGAGAAGAAAATCAATGAAGACAAATAGATATTTGTGATAAGTGAATGATAAAGTGCCAGCATAGACAGAGTAACTATCTTTTTCTTTTCTTGTCAACACATATAGATAAGAGAATACGATTTGATTATTAACGTATATCTTGCATTACTATTTGTATCAAAGATTACAATAATATAAAGTTAAGTATTAGTGTTGACGTGAAACATGGAATAATCATAAATCACAAACACAATAATCATTTCTAAAAATTTCAAATTTATAGATTAAATTTATACATTACATTGTATTTTATTTGATAATAGTTCTAATAACTTTTATAATAATAGAAATATGAGATCAGAATCAAATATTTTCGAAAGAGAATTCCTATATTTTGCTTGTCAATTTTATTGTAAAAAAAAAAAGGTGCTGCATAGGTGATTTTGACGTAAAGCATAAAAAACAACAAATTGATTACTGAAACTTTAGTAAAATTCTCATCAAGGATCATCCATAAATCATATTGCAATAATGTCAAACATCAATGAAATACATCTTTCATAGAATTGCAATAAATTTTTATCACATAAGTGACATTTATTAAGAAGTAAAAAGTTACATAATAAATAAATTAGATATATGATAAAAATTCTCTCATCGTTATTTAGTAATAACATACGATTGAACTTATAACAAAAGTAAATAGTAAATTACATTTTGTGACTAACTTTATCAATAGTACATATATCGACATTTATATTTTACTTTAAATAGAGAACGAATTGAAAAGATAATAAGATAATGAAAATTTTTGTGGAAACAATTTGAATTGAAACAAAGAATAAATAACATTCATCGGATGTTACGGAATAACAATGATATATGACTAGGAATGTGATTACGATCTATTCACCTAAGGTTAGATTCAACCAATAAATTCTATTATGAAGGTCAATCATTTATTCTGTTCTATCTTTTAAAAGGTTATTCTATTTCATTTATATCTTCCCTCAAAATTGGAAGAAAGATGGTACTACATGTAGAGAAAGAAAAAAACCGTTAGCGCAATCTCTGCAGGATTCAAATGTGAAACACGATGTAGCTATTGTTGCTAATTACAGAAAGATTACTTTATTCTATGTATTTTGGAACATATTTCTTCACCATCTTTTGATTTAATCCTTCAGAATTGCAATAAGGAAGTTGTTCATATATTATAACAAGACATTATTGATGTACACTCTTTGGTCGTATATCAACAATATTTGTCACGGTCTATGGGACGGGAGACAAGAGGGATAAAAGGTCATGGGTCCAAATTTGTATCTCTACTTTTCGATTGTGTTTTACAGTACAGATAATGTAGGATAATCTTGGAGAAAAAAAAAACCATGAAAAATATAATTAAACTACATTATAAAATGCATAGGTCTGATATGATCTCAGTAAATCACGTACATTTGTATGTACTCAGATACAAAGGATGAATAAAACTAATAAAGATTTATAATTCTAAAAGATCAATGATTCTTTTCAATATTAAGAAAGTAAACGAAAACCTGTAAAAAAAAAAAAAGATAACGTGCTTGTCATTACTTCAAACTTCCGCTATTTTCTTGAACAAACAAACTATAAAGTTGTGACTATCATGTTTATCGTTCTAGAGATATTCTCTGATCATGATTTCTAACTTTCTTTGTCAAGATCGAGTACAATATCTTCCAAAAAAATTTTATATACATATTTATCAATAAGCACAAGAAAATAATATAGACTAATAAAGTATAAATTGAAATAGTAATAATAGATAATTAAAGATTCGATTGTTTTCAAATAAGTACAAACACATCCAAGTGAATTATTTTCTTCTTGAACAATTTGCATAGTTAAGAAAGATCATAAAAGAAAAAAGCGTTAAAAAGAAAAGTTGATTGTCACTGAGTTCAATATGTTATTAATTAAGTCAACCTTCTGCAGGAAATAATATTTAGTGCAGAAAGTCTTTGATATTTTATTGTTCAATGTTTGCTATTTGAGACATACAAATTCTTTTATTATTATTCAGCAATGTTGTTTTGTACGTCTATAAAGGTAAATAATAGTAAGTAATTTGATATCAAACGCACACCTGTCTTGAGAATCAAACAATAGAGAATTGTTTGGCTATGTATCGTTTTCTTGTTTACATTAGTTTGTTTTATCAAGAATTCTATCACTGCTGCCATCTTTTCATGGAATTTGATCGATTGGTTATTTAATAAAGTTCTTATGATTCACAAAAATTTCAAATGACAATATATGAATAAGCGAGGAAATACAATGACATCAAATTTATTCATTCGTTCATCGTTGTTTATTTAAAAAAAAATCAAAACAATTTATTAATCAAACTTTAATAATCAAAAGTCATTTTGTTCAGGATGTTTTTATTTGGTTTAACATTCTCAATAAATCTTCTATTTATTTTCATAAATGCTGAAAATCATATTGGTGTAAACAATGTTCAACGATCAGCAATCAGTAAGAATATAAAATCTGATTTATGATGTGCTTTTAACTGTTTTATTTTCTCTTCTTCTTAGATATGGATGTTGTTGAACATGAACCAAACAACAATGTTCATTATGATCAATCTGAGCAAATAACACCTGAAAAAGTCTTAATTAGGTAAAATGAATTTAAATGAAATATTATAATATACATGTTCTTTTAGAGTACCACGTCTTAAGACAGAAAATGAAAAATTGAAAATAAATAAACGTGAACGTCGTCAACTATTGGAGTAAGTTAATTAATTAAATTTAATAGTCTTATTTTTCGTTTCTAAGCTTTCGAGTGAGAAAACGATATAGAATCTATTAATTTTTCTAGAGCTTTACAAACTGCTGGTTTCATTATTAGTGTAGCTAAAGCAATGAAAAAAACAGAAAGGTATTTTATTTTGTATTCTTAAATATAATACGTAGATTAGACTGCTTCACCTTATGATATCCACCTAATTTTTTTTTGTAATTTTGACACAATTAATTGTTATTATTTATAGTGAGAACGACGAATTTGAAAAAATGTAGTGTGTAAAATAAAGCGTGATATTATCGAATGTATTTGACAAAAAAAAAAGAAAACGAAATGTGTGTTTCTTATTGCTTGTTAACCTTTTTGCACAGATTTATTCTAACGAATTTTTCTATTCTGTTGAAATGCGCGATTATTTATTGCTTTTATAATCACTAATATGAATTAATTTGACTTTTACTTTTGAAAATTTATGTTTTCGATGTTTGTTTTATTATAACTGTTTTGTTTTTGTATTTTAGTGGTGAAGAAATTTTGGGAATGGCAAAAAAGGTAATGTGTATTAAGATTTCATAAGCAAAACTAAACTAACGAGTGATTGGCAAGTTTTTAAACAAGATGTTTGTTTACTTTTCATCTATTAGGAAGTCTTTCCAACGAGTCAAAAGCTATATTTTCAAACATATGAAAAATTGCCAGAGTCGGTCATTTTGTATAGCAGATACTTCTCTACAAAAAAAATGTGATATTGACCTAAGCTGTAGTTTTCATTCAGGTGAGATTATAAGTATTTTTCAAGAATTCCTTTCAACGTAAAACGATTATCGATTTTTCAAAAATGAATATTTATGAAGACTGAAAATTGAGATACTCTCTTAAAAGACAAAAAGAAACTTTAAATAGTAAATTTTATAGGGTAGTTTCTGATTTACAAGTTGATATATACATAAAAAGTCTAACTTTTAATATTGAATCGCAACAATGAAAATACAAAAATATGTAGAAGAATTTTCTGTTCAAACTAATTTTTTTGATTTTTCAAAGATTATTTCACAGAGACAAAATTTCTAAATCCATATTTGAAAAGAGCACCCTAATTCACAGCTTTTGACTCGTTGGCAATACTTTCCTAGCGGCTCAAATGTGAACAAATATCAAATTTCCCGATCACCAGTTAAGATTATTAGAGTATCTATTGAGTTATTCAGGGGTGTTTTTCTCCAGCAAATTTTCAGCGTTTTATTCGTTTTTCTTTTCTCACCGATTCTTAATAAAATGCTCAACTCTCGAGATCCTGTCGACCTCCAAATACTCTCTGAAGTTAGTGAAGTTTTTATATTTTTCTATACAATAGTTTCTGAAAGGATATTTAATTTTATCAAAACATCGATCTATGAATTTTCACATATCATAGGTTTTTAAGTTTTTATTTTATATTTAAATCAAAATTTTTCCGATAAAATAGTTTTTTATAATAAAAATAAAATTTTTATACCAAGATGAAGAATCTCTCAATATTGAATGCATGATTCATATTGGTTTCGTGTACTTATGTAGAATTTTACATTCTATACATTAACATAGTATTTTATAATTATTTCAAATACAATCTTTTGCATTGAATTTCAAGCATTTTTCTTTTTCTCATAAAAATAAATTAAACAATAGTTTATTATTAATTATTGTTTTATTTAGGTGGCCATTATAGTGTTAGTTTTTGTTTCATTATGTACGGTTTGTTGTTTTGTTACAATAATAATTATTTGTGTTAAATGTTGTTGTGGTAATAATAATCGAAAAAGAAATGCAGGTAAATTGAAAAAGTTTTCAAGATAACAAAAAAAAAGAAATTTATTATTATTATTATTTCATTTCTTTGAATTGTAGCGTCAACTACTGTTCAAGTTCCACAACCTATAATTGTTCATCATACAGGTCCATCTGGTTATCAACCACAATATTATCAACAACCAGCTCCTCAATCATGGAATTCTGTTATGGTTCGACCACCAGAAAGTCGTCCAATGTTACCTCAACCAAGTGCACCACCACGACCAAATAATGATTTTCATACTGAATATGTACCACCGCCTCCCTATGAAAAACTTTATACAAGCAATTAATTATTCCATATTTGTTTTGTTGTTGTTGTTGTTGTTGTTGTTGTTGTTTGAGGCGAGAAATTAAAATAGAAGAGAGGGCGTTTTGTCAGATGTTCTTTGATTCACATCGGAAAACAAAAGCATATTCTTTTTTTTTTTCTTACCATTGTCGTTGTCCGTAATCCCGCATTTTTTTATACTTCATGAACTTATATAGTTGTGTGTCCTATGCTCATATGAAAAAACGATATTCTACATATTTAAAATACTTCTCTTCATTTTGTATATACATATTTCTCGTGATTCTTTTAGTTGAATCAATAAAATTTCTATAACAGATATCTATAGATAGTTAATCTTGACTAACCAGATTCAAATATTAAAAAAAAAGATAGAAACATAAGATATACAAATCAGTTGTGTTCGAGGTAACAACAGTTGACTAGGACATTTAACAAATCATCTATGATCTAGTTTTTTTTTTCTTGACGAGATACAACATTTGTCTTCAATACTCTACTATTATCAACTATCTTACATCGAACTATTCAACACGAATAGAAATTTTCAATAAACTATTTCCTGTTTTTTTTGTAATCAATAAAATTATTAGTTATCAAAAGAACATGATTAGTGTTATCATTCGTTGAAATAATAGATGACAATTTTAGAATGACAATCTTTTTGTATTTAAAAAAACAAAGACATCTTCTTTAACTAGATGAACTAATACAAGCAATATATTGAGATATGTTTTGATGAATTCATAAAAATTTGTTTATTGTTATTTGAGAATGTAGAACAAATATACTAAAAAAGATTTTTAGTCGTATTCAAGGTATAACTAGAATATAAATTTGATTGATGAATGTTTCCTTTTTCCGGCGTTTTGTCTGTGTAAAATCTTTATTTGTTCTTTCAGTAAAATAAATTATGTTCTTGTATATTCATAATAATAAAAAAAAATGATTTGTTTATTGATAAAAAGAAAAGTATTACAATATTCTGATGAAGTTTTTCTTATTTAATCAAGTGCTTACAAATAATAACAATGCAAACCATTGAACTTAATAATCTAATTCTTTTGCTTTCTAATAATCTATTAGTTCTTATGAAAAAAAAAAGATGCAAATGGTGTTTTTCTATGTAGTACGAAAGAGTAGTTTCTTTTTTTTCTAATATATATAACTGCACCCACTTATTTTCTTGTTACACTAGACCTTCAACATTTACGGATGGATGCAACTATAGAAAAAGAGAGATAGAAACAAATTGAACGAACTAGATTCTACACTTCAACGAACAAGGCATATATTCAATCGATGTCGATGATGGTATATGAACGAGAGTGAGATATATAGTTGTGTATTAATTTGATTTTTGCTAAGTTGAACCCTGTCGTTGACAATTTCCGTTTTCATGATATGCGTTTTTTCTGCCTTCTCTCTTATAACGTCCTACCCATTTCTCTCTCTCTCTCTCTCTGTCTTCTTGTCATCTTCTCTTTACTTGATGATTTTTATCTCTAGCTTGCTTCTCTTGACTTTTCAATACATAACGACATATAACCATTAGTCTACTGTTGTTGATAGACAGATCACAAGTGTTTATAGAACTATTACAACTAGCATCAGTCAAATACAATACTGTATATCTCTATATACATGCTAATACGACCTCTTATAACAACTGGTAAGACAATAAAGCTTGATGTTTTCTACTTCATTTTCTAAAAACATTAATAAACTTTGTACTTATATTTAATTAGTAGATAATTATATTAAAATGTGTTGACGTCACTGATATATAGACAATACCATCTGCTTATTACAGTTTTCTCTAGAGAGAAAGAATTTAATATTTTTCTTTTTGTTTTTGAATCATTTTTGTTATTTTAATTTTCTAGAATTTTTGTAAACTAAACTAAATATATATATATATACGGTTGATTTCTTAGAAATAGATTAAAATAAATATTGTATATAAAAATATATAGGATGATCAATTTATATTTTGAGAGGAAATGAAATTTATTCTTAATATTATGGAAATATATCGTTTAAATAAGTGTCTTTATATACATGTTGATGAGTAAGGAAAACGAAGATTTTTATTTCTTCTTCTTTTGATCCAATAATATAATATTATTTTCTATTCAAATGTGAGTTCAATCGTGCATGAGCCACTTGGGATTTGCCTAAACTATTTATTCATTTTATCATATCTATTCCACGGAGAATTCTTTATATTTTCCTAGTGGCATAAATCATCATAATTCATATGTAAAAAGACTATTCATATTAGAGAATAACTAGTTTCTATTAAATCACTTTTCTTTTTCTCTAAACAAAAAACAAAATATTAGTTAGTTGTCTACACTGTATTTATAATCGAAAATGTTAGAGTATTGCTTAAATCTATCTTTAAACAAATGTTAATTATGAAAAAGAAAGATTTCATAGGAAATGAGAAAAGAAAAAATGATTGCATATTAGTCTTTTTCTATTAATCACGAACATCATTCTAAATTCATATAAATCGAATGGAAATTTTTATTCTCGATCTATTTATATAGACATGCATCTCTATACATGAAATGATTGATAACCATATGTATTTGTATATATATATAAATATATACGTAATCTTATTATTAGTGTCTGAAACTTCGTCGTTGAGAAAAGAAACATATGACATAAACCAATATTTTTGACATTCAGTTATATTAGCCTTGATAAAAGGTTGTTACTATTCAGACAATGACTATTATATTCATATTTTAGATGGGTAATGTACCAGATTTTTGTCGAAATATTTCTTTGACAACCAATGAAACATCTTATGAATTATTATCTGAATGTTGGAGTGAAAAATGGATAGCTGATTTTTTACGCAAAAGTTTACCGTTGGTTATTTTACCTGTATCACTTATATGTAATTTTTTATCATTCATTGCATTACGAAGTCGTCATATGCGTGGAACATCAACAGCTTTTTTTATGCTTGCTCTTAGTGTTCTTGATCCACTTGTATTATTAACAAAAAATCTCGTCTATTTTCCAACATTTGTTGCAGCTCATGGAATATTATGTAAAACACTTTATTTTCTTATATATGTTCTTGGATATACAAATGTTTGGATTCTTGTCATTATGACTGCTGACAAATTTTTTGCTGTTTGGTTCCCTTTAAAAGTTTCTGATTTTTGTACTATAGATCGTGCAAAACATGTTTGTATATTTCTTCCGGCAATGACAAGTATTATTTCTTTTCATCATTTTTGGACTATTGATAGTTTAAAACATCCGAATGATCCTAAACAACGTTTTTGTTATTATGATATAAGTCGTTATCGTTCAATACAACGTATATGGCGTTATGTCGATTTCGTTATATGGTGTTTTTTGCCTTTTATACTTATATTAACATTAAGTGTTTTAATTATATATAAATTACGTCAAAATCGACAAGGTTCAAATAAAAATATTTTAAAAATGTTGAAGACTAATTCAAAGGATGAACGAAGTAAGTTAAAAAATTTATTAAACTTAATTTTTAATAAAGAATAATAAACTTTAACAAATAATACCAAAAAAATTCCGGCTAAAATAAGTCTATTAAGAAAAATTTTAAGAAGAACACTCATTGATTCAAGAGAACTACACTATAATTACGAAAATCCCTTTAGGCAAATCATACATGATAAATATCATTTTTTTTTTGATGATTAACTTCGAAAAGAAAGAATATTTTTAGCCGGAAGGTGCATTTTTTCATGATAATAACATACATTCAATTCTTCATGATCTTGTCTTTCTTTCTCTATCTCTTTTTTTTTTGCATAAGAAAAAAGAAAAAAAAAAGAAATACATATTTCTAATGAACATTTATTATTTATTTTTATTTTTTTTTTGAATTTTTAGTTGTAAGTAGAAATCGTTTAAGTAAACTACAACATCAAAAGAAAAGAACAGAAAATCAAGATATTGAAATGCGTAGTAATCAAAAAATAGAAGTTATCCGTTCTAGACATCGACATATAACATTAATGTTGCTTGCTGTTGCTGTTGTTTTTCTTCTTCTGACATTACCAAATAGTATCTATTTTGTACTTGATCTTACATATGGTTTTAATAAACTGCCAACGGAGAATGATTATTATCAATGGTTACGTTATCGGCGTTTAACTATATTAACTGTAATCATGTTTCAATTAAGTGATTTACAACATGCAACAAACTTTTTCTTATATTTATTAACTAGTGACAAATTTCGTCGTTCTGTTATAAGAATTTGTGTATCAACAATACCTATTTTACCATCATTAATACCGTGTTGTTGTCAAGATAAAGGACGTTCATCAACAGCATCACTTCCAGGTCATTATTCAAGTCAAAGACATGATAAAGGGCCTATAACATTTCGTACAAGTGTATCCGAACGATCAAGTATACATATAAGTTCAAATCGTTTATCTTCTCGACAAATGCAACAACCATTCTATAAATATTCATCAGTATCATCGAAACCAGTAACAACAGCAGCATCCAACTCGACATAATATCAAAATAGGAAAAAAACTTCTATGATTTATATCATAATAATTTTGTTTTTCTTTTTTTTTTTTTCTTTCTAATTACAATGGAGAAGTTTAGTAAAAATGGAATAAATAAAAAAAAAAGAAAGAAAGAAAGAAAATAAATTATTTTTGAAATAAAAAATAAAAACATATCAAATGTTATACTTGTACATGGTTCCATGATGAAGTTCGAAGAATATCTCCTAACATATGAGAATTTTCATTTTCATTGCTAGATATTTTAGCTGATAAACGTCTATTATTAGGATATGATGTTGAAATTGTCATATAATCTTCATCATCTATAGTTGAATAAGTATTCATACTAATTGGACTATTTACTTGTCGTCGAATTGATTGATTTTTTATATGAGCTGTACTTATACGTGAATTAAATGGTACTTTACGTGCTAATGATGACGTTCCCAATGGTGTTACATCATGTGCATTATTTTTATTATTATTATTATTATTCTGCTCAGTTTTATTTTGTCGTTGGTGTATTGTTAAATTTGTTAAATACATAACATAGAATGGACATGAAACAGATTTCAAATCATTTTGACGACAATCATTTTTAGCTGAACGTGTTTTCATTGCTGAGACTATTGGTGTATCAGTTAGAAAGATACTTTCACTACCAACATTTGATTGTTGTGGAATTTGATAAGCATGAGTTGTTCGATAATCTGTTGTATCTTGTTGATTATTATTATTATTTTCTGTTTCATGAACTAATGGTGGTGGTGATGTTGGAGTAATACCCGAAATAATTTGTGATGTTTGATTAGATGTATCATTTATTGTAGGCATTGTAGAACCTATATTTGCTGATACATTTGTTATAGCTGATGAAAAACGTTGATGAATACGATCAGCTGTAAAAGTAGTTGATGCAGAAGAAAGACGACATGATGTTGAATAGGAAAAATCACTTTGTGGAGTACCATCCAAATCCTAGAAGAATTAAAATTAATTGTACTATTATAATATTAAAAAAACACAGAAGAATAGAGATTTTTATCATTAAATTGTTCTTAAGCAATTAAGAAGGCCAAATAAACAATAGATTTTTGACCTCAAATTATCAAACAAATTTCTATAGGAAGTAAATAGTTAATGAAAGACAAATGTTTGACAAGATTTATAATGTACTTTTCTTAAGAGTTCAATATCATTTACATGAATAATTAATTTTGTTTAATATAATGAAAATTTTTCATAATAGAAAATATTTGATCTTACTCGATTATTTTGAAAACGAAAACTTGCACTTGATTCTCCATGTTTTCTTAATTTGCTACTAATATGATCGATTTCAGATTTTAATTTAGCTGAAGCATGTGATTGAATAAATGGTGTTTTTGGCGGTGAATCTTTATTGTCATTATAAATATTATTTCGTTGTGCTGTAGCTGTTGTTAAACGTAATTTTTGATGACGTACAGTTGATGGTCGAAAACCATTTCTTACACCATTTACTGTTAAACGTGAATCATTTGAACAATCAATAGTTGTAGCATTATTTCCATCAAGTGGATAATATTGTTGAATTTCATTTGCTGATGAACGATATTGTTGTAATTGATGATGATTTTGTTCTGATGATGCTAATAATACACTTGTTGAAGCATTATTACGAAATTGTGGTGATAATGCTGGAACAGTTATTAAATGATTTCTTGTAGATTTAACTTCATGAATAGTATCAGCAGCAAAAAGTCCTAGATAAAATATATTTAAAATTAAATTTTTTTTTAAAGCCAAAAAGAAAGAAATAGACGAATCGAGAAAACCTGTTTTATTTTTTGGTAAACCAGGAAATCTTGTATCTGATTTATTCGTTGTAGTAGTTGTCATCTCCATAGATGAAAAAAAATGTATTAATTGTGTCCAATAGAATATAGAATCGAAAAATAGAAAAGAGCAAATATGTTTGATGTCTTTTAAAATTTATGATGAAGAGTGAGAATGTGTAACAAAGAGAGAAAAGAAAACTTTCATTGTTACATATTTTGAAAAAAATCTATAGACGATGAAGAAGTGCTCAAACAAATACTTTTACGTCTCTTTCATCGTTGACAAGTAAAAAAGAAATGAGAAAGAAAAAAAAACAGGTATGTGTTAGTGAATGAAATATATCAAGTGACTGATTCAATTGAATGTATGAAAAAAAAAATTTCATTATAACATAATCAAAAAGATTTCTAATTATATCCTTATATTATTCCATTACTGATCAATGAATTCTGTTTTTTTTTTATTAAAAAAAAAGAAAAGATAAGTGATTGTTGTCGTCAAAATTTCTTTCGTTGATACTTCAAGAAGAAAAATATATGAGATTCTATTTTAATGTAAATTATAATACGAACTGAAGTCCAATAAATTCAAACAAATTATTTATTCAGCACCACGTATACTTTATTTTTTTATTAACAAAGAAGTAGGTTAGTATGTACTTAACTGAAATTCAGTAATCTGAATTGCGACGATATTTATTTTGATGACTAAAACTACTGTCGATATTCTGAGATGATGTCTACACAATTAAAAACATTCTAATATTGTGTATGTATCGATATTAGTTGTAATTAGTAATTATAATGATGTATCAAGTTAATAACGAACTTAAGTCTGAAATTAAAGAGATTCCTAAATTAAGTTAGGAAGGTGATTCCTAAGTATCAAATCATTTTTGGATCGGAACTGTGCACATCATGTAGGCACTAATAAGCTATGAATACTCTGAAAAGAATTTCGGACTAATAGCTTATTGCTACTGAGATACTGTATTTTTCAGTAGAATGCCGTGATTCCCCTCAGAAACATCAGGA